GGGGGGGGGGGGGGGGGGAGTTGAAAAAACCTGGGGGAAAATTTCAAGCACGAGTTGAAGAAGATAAATCTATTATCAGGCGGTGGGTTCTGGACGTGAAACAACAGTTTCTCCTCCTGAGAATGGTTCATGGGAGAAAAACTATGAAAAATATTCTTATTAAGATCATGTGGAGGTCATCCAGGGCTATATGAAGGTCATAGAAAGGTCATAAAAAGGTTTTATGAAGGTCATATACGGGTACAAAAGGGTCATGGGGTCATGCGAAGGTCACATAGGGTCATATGAAGGTCATACAAGACCCTAGCGAACTATATGAAGTTTATAGGGTCACATGGAAGTTACGTGAAGGTCATACATGACCGTATAAAGGTTATAGGATCATAAAAAGGTCAAATGGGGTCAAATGAAGGTCATAATAAGTTATGCTCGTCTATTATTGGTGAACGAAAAACCGTTCCAACAAAGTCAAAAACCTGGAAAAATTTCAAACCCAAGTACACGACAACAAATTAATTTTCAGCCATTAGTTTCTCAACGCGAAACAGCTGTTTCTCCTCCTGAACATGATTTACGAAAGAAAAAACAGTTTCTCAATAGTTTCCTCCGCTGCTAACGCTTTTTTTTTCCCAAGAAAATTTTACTTTTTATTTCAATATACTTACCTAATCATCTCGCCTCGAGTCAAATCCCTCCATCCTGTATTTTTCCTCTTGAATATCTGAATATAAACCCCGTGCTCAACAACGGGCTTCTCAAGTTTATAAACTGAATACCTTGAAATAAATAAAAATCAACCATTATGATCGATTTCTACCTCGACTTTTATAAATCGTCTTGCAGTATGTGTCTTTTTCTCTCAGCAAAGAGGGAACCAGAAATTCGTTTTATATAAATCACTTGCCATAAATCGCTGAAACGTAAACAATGCGCTGACTCCAGATATTTTTCTGGATTCACATTCGGTGGATGTCTTCGATCCATACAATTCTGTCCACCGCGTATCTGAAATCCACTGGCGCTCATCTCCCGTTTATTTCTCCCCCGATAACTTCCACTTTGTTCCACCCTGTGTCCCGCATCGCTCTCATCACCGTAGATTTCATCGAGAACATCTTGCACGTCGAGACTCATTAATTGTCTTCCAAACCGCCGCCACCACTTCTTCTTCTTCTTCTTTTTCTTCTTCTTCTTCTTTCTCCGCCACCGCTTGCTCCTCACTCTCGACCCGGGACGAACAATTTCTCCCTTCCCAACTTGCCGATCGTCTCCAGGCGCACCCTCTGCCTCCAAAGAGGACTGATCCCCCACTTCGGGAGCTCGACGCTCTCTGGAGTCGTCCGCCCTCTCCAGGTACTCGTCGATTAATTTACCCCCGAGAGTTTCGAGTGTCTCCACTCGACTATTTTTCGGCTTATTCATTATTCTCGTTATGTAGGTTTGTCTGGGAGCCCCTGCGGACGGAACCTCCGTTGCATTCGCCGGGCTCCCCGGAGATGATGCTCCAGACGCGTTGGATATCCTCTCTATCCTCTCTTCGTCGAACGATCCTTCCTCAATGCTGGAGGTGTTCTCAGGTGTTATCACGAACTTCTGGAGTCTGATGACAGTCCCCGGCTCCTCGTGGCAGTCCTCCCCCGTCAGAATACTCTTCATCTTGCTGATGAACTCCATCACCGCGAGCATGTTACTCAGTCTTGCGTCCTCGTCGGAGCGCCCATCACTCCTCGTTACAGCTTCCGTTGCTGAATCATCATTCTCCATTTGTATCGGCTTGAAAGGCCGCTTCGATTTATTATCATTCTCCCTCGTTCCTGATGAATTTCCCCCCTGTTCCTGATGAATTTCCATTCCCGGGGAATTCCTCATCCAGGGGCACGTCTGGGCCTTCGTGTCGCTCGTCGCCTCCTCGTCGTCGCTGTCCACGAAGAATGTAACTGTCTCCGGAATTTCGTCCCGCGACTTTGTTGTCATTCTTGGAAGAGAGATTATTTTTTCCGTCTTTTCCTGGAGGAAATGGGGTCGGGTCGTCGTCTCTGGGGGCATCGACGACTGTTTCTCCGGGTTAACGGGCGTCAAGGGGACTATCCTCACGTCCCCCAGCCAGTCTTTGTTCGGTTCAGCCTCTGCTTTCGGCGACGGAGGATTTGACATACTTATCAATCCAATTATTTTCAAGTTTACCGGCGACTGCACCGGGTTCGGGAGGAGGGGGGGAGGGCTCGGCTCGTCTGGGAGGGCGGAGGGACGGATTTTGCCGAGGGCCGTCACTGTCTCAAGGTCGGCGGGGTCATTCTCCGGGAGCTCGTTGGACACGAGGTTTCGCGTTGATTCGGAACGGGCGGCTTTCAGGGGAGGTCTGGGGACGATCCCCTGGGGGAGATCGTCCTCAGCTGATCGGCGGTTTAGTTTTAGGGGAGGGTTCGGGTTGCGGGGGCCGGGGGTGTCGAAGGTTATTGACATGGGACCGCCCGGGGCGCCGCCGTCTATGTGGATTTTTCCGGTTAAGGAAATTGCGAAGTCTCCGGTCGGGGGGTTGCGCAGGTCCGGGAGGGCTTTTCGGGGGGCGTTATGCAGGAGTTTACGGGTTACGAATTTTTGGGCGGGGGGGATTTCGGAGAGGTCGGTTGTTATTTGGCGGCGCGGGGACGCGGGATTGACGGGTTTAGGGGGAGGGAGGGACCGGGGGTCCTCGGGAGGTCGTGAATTTTCGGGATCGGAGGGATGAGTTTTTTCAACTTCGTGGGGTTTTATTTGTTTGGAAATTTTGGGGGAAGAGTCTAAAGGGCGTTTTTCATTATTTCTGATGTGACTCTTCATTAATTTTGTTTTGGAATCCGGATTGACGGAGAGGTTTGCTTTTATTTTTTGGGGGTCCTCGGGAGGTCGTGAATTTTCGGGATCGGAGGGATGAGTTTTTTCAACTTCGTGGGGTTTTATTTGTTTGCAGATTTTGGGGGAAGAGTCTGATTGACATTTTTCATTATTCCTGACGTGACTCTTCATTAATTTCGTTTTGGAATCCGGATTGACGGAGAGGTTTGTTTTTATTTTTTGGGGGTCCTCGGGAGGTCGTGAATTTTCGGGATCGGAGGGATGAGTTTTTTCAACTTCGTGGGGTTTTATTTGTTTGGAAATTTTGGGGGAAGAGTCTAAAGGGCGTTTTTCATTATTTCTGATGTGACTCTTCATTAATTTTGTTTTGGAATCCGGATTGACGGAGAGGTTTGCTTTTATTTTTTGGGGGTCCTCGGGAGGTCGTGAATTTTCGGGATCGGAGGGATGAGTTTTTTCAACTTCGTGGGGTTTTATTTGTTTGGAAATTTTGGGGAGAAAGTCTCTCATGCGCGATGGCACATGGGGAATGTCTGAATGACGTTTTTGATTGCTCCTGACATAACTTTTCATCAACTTCATTAATTTCATTTTGGAATCAAGATTGACGGAGGGCTTTGTTTTTATTTCTTGAGGGGAATCGCTGGTCGCGTACTGCAGAGGTTTGCGGTTTACGAATTTTTTGGCGACATCAGGCGGAATTTTGAAGCGATCGATTATTATTCGGGGGCCTGAGGTACGCGGGAACGCAGTTTCGACGATTTTAACGGGCGGGAGGGACCGGAGGTCCTCGGGAGGTCTTGAATCTTCGAGATTGGAGGGATGAGTTTTTTCAACTTCATGAGGTTTTATTTGTTTAGAAATGTTGGGGGGAGAGTCTCTCATGCGCGATGGCACATGAGGAACGTCTGAATGACGTTTTTCATTACTCCAGCCGTGACTTTTCATTAATATCCTGCGGAGTCTGTTCAAACGATTTCTGCTCCATTTTCTTCGGACAATGTGGCGGACTTCCTCGGGGATGAGCGGCTGCTCTACTTGCTTTAAAATTTCAGGGCTCATTCGGGAATCGAGATCGACGGAGGTGTTTGTTGGGGACTCGCGGAGGGATCTGTCGATTGATACCTCTGGGTACTCCTTCGGGGTGACATTCGGAGAGTCAACATGGGGTCTACGGGCGTCACCCGGTTTCGAATATTTCTTCGCTTTGAGGCGACTTGGGGGGGATGTCGACAGTGGTGTAGGTGACTGAAGAGCCTCTGAGGGACTTCCCATCGACTTTGCGTCATATCTGAACCTCTTGTGGTGAAATTGAGGTCCGTCAGAGGATACTGTCGAGTTTGGGGGGAGTTGGAACGAAAAATCTGTGTCGCAGGGGCAGCAGAAGCCCTGGGGAGATACTTCGAAGTTGGTCGTTGATAGTATTTTGGATTTTAGAGCTGTCATTTAAGGGCTTTTCTACTCATTTCGAGATTTTAAATCGTTGAATTCGTGAATTGAATAAATTTGCGAAATTATTAGTAATCAAATAATTAAATTAATAATAAAATTGATCATTAATTCATAATTAATTACAATTGATTATTATTCATTATTTTAACTAATTATTAATTACTAGTTAAAATTATGAATAATAATCAATTGTAATTAATTATTAATTAATAATCCCTGATAATAATTCCTAATAATTTTAAAATAATTATTTAATAATAAAATTATCAAATTGTTGATAAAAATATCTTGTAGTTTTCAAAAAATGCTATTTTGTAATCATTTTATGACGTTCTATCAAAAAGTTAGCCTTTTTTTTTTTTAAAGATTTTGAAATTTTTTTCTGAATGAGAAATTGCGGAAAAATTCAGTACCTGACTGTGCGGTATCTTCACCCCCCTGTAGAACATTTCCCCGCAGGTCGGATGATCCGAATAGTCATCGCAACCGAGGAAATTCTCCCTCTCATTGTTTATCACCTCCTCTGTCGCCTCAGCATTGACAACCTAAATTTCAAATCGACACGCGCATGAAACAATTTAATAGAAAAACGTAGCGAATTTTTTTGACAATTCTAGTGGATTTCGATTAGTTTTCGGCCGATTCTATTACAATTTTCAATATAAAGTTTTCTGTAGAAAAAAAAGAATTTGATTCTTCTATACAACTTATTCTATTAAAATATTCTATAGAATTTCCTCGGCTCAAAAATTCCATGTTTCTTGTCTAACTTTCTTGATGACGAGAAAAGAAAAAGAGAATGAAAAAAACATGGACAATTTGAGCTCAGGAAATTCAGTAGAAAATATCTCAATAGAATAAGTTGTGTGGAAAAATCGAATTCGCTAGGTTTTTCTGGTAAATTTCTTCGTACGGACGTTCCTGCGTCATTGACTTCTGGTAGGGTATCTTCCCTCGAGGCGGGTGCCTCGACCGACAGTGTTTTCCCGCCCGCCGGCGAAACAGAACGCGTTTTGACCTGGGAATACTCACGCTCTGGAAGTCCAAACCGTAAAGCTGCAGGACTTGCTCCTGTCGGATTTTTATCACGTACGGCTCCATCAGACGGGTTCTCCGCATTGTCAGTGGGTCTGTCACGTGGTCTACCACTATGAATCGATCTTCTGTGTCGGTCTGCATGAAAATTGCAGGAATTTCAGGCATTTTTTTTTAAATTCATCAAGATTTTGCTGTTTTCTCTCTAAATTCTAATTTTCTTTGAATTTTTTTACAAATTTTTATTATTATTTGTATTTTATGTTTCAATTTTATTATTTAAATTTCATCTCTAAATTTTCATCGTTCAAATTTTTATATTGAAACTAAAGTTTGAATTGTTCAATTTCTAAAAAAATATTTCAAGTGAAAAATTCGCATGATCCCAATTATTTGAATAAAATGCAATTTTCGATACGTGAAGTATTGCATAGTTATTTGAAATTCTCCTAAAAAATCCTAAAAGGCAATAAAATTATTAAAATAAAATTTAGAAAAATGAAAAATTTGGTAAAAATTACTTCTGAATTTCAGGAATTATTGTCAAGAAACTTTTATTAAGATTCCTTAAATAAACTTTCATTGGTTAAATTTGAAACTTGAATTTTTATCATTCAAATGTTATATTTAAACTTGAAGCATAAATTTCAAATTTTCTCAAAATATTTTGAATAAAAAATCACATAAAGACAATTATTCTTTAAAAAATTACAATTTTTACTGGAATTATTGCATTTTCATATGAAATTTTATTAATTTAGGTATAATTTTTAATTTGAATCCCGATAAAATTCCTTTCCATCATTGAAGATGAAGGAAAATGTCCTAATAATGATTTCTGAATTTCAGGTCGTAATTTTCCGAAATTTTTATCAAGATATATTATTTAAACAATTATCATTTAAATTTTATATTTAAATTTTTATGACTCGAATGTTATATTTAAACTTCAAGTATAATTTTCGCATTTTCTCAAAATATTGTGAATAAAAAATCTCATAAACTCAATTATTCATTTAAAAAATTGAAAAATTTTAATGGAACTATTGCATTTTCATTTAAAATTCTCCTAAAAATTTGTCAAATACAACAAAATAATTAAAGTTTAGTCATAATTTTTACCAAACTGTACCCTCCCCATACGAATCTAGGTGAAATACCTTTCCGACATTCGTAAGTTTGACAGAAATCACAAGTTTTCGATGGCACCTCGTGATCATCGAGTGCTTCTGCAGATGGAAATTCCAGAGGCTCATATTTGCGTTGTTTATGGGACCATTCGGAGGGTGAGCACACGGCAGAAGCATGGCTATAATTTCCACCGATGATTCCCCATTTCTCGCGATGTCGTCAGCACCGTTTTTACGACTATCGGTGATAAAATACTTATCATCCCATGACTCACGGATTTTACGGGATTTTCTGGTTGGACAGCTGGGGTTCTCCGAGGGATGGTGCTCCGGGCTGTACGCGAACTCCGATGTATAGGGATTTATCGGAGTTGCTGGGATGTGGGGCATTATCAACTGGAAACTCTTTCAACGTGAGCGTCAAGTCCTTGAGGCAAAATTCAGCAGCGAAAAGTGAAAACAGTTCAAGTGGGTTCAGCCCTTAGCTGAGGTTTCGGGGAATATCTCCGAATCCGAGGGAGATAGAGAAATTTTTGTCATGACCTTTTTTGTAGAGCGAATCGAGGGCTATAAAAAAGGTCATGATGAAAATTTCGCTATCTTCCTTAGATTTCGAGATTTTCATTAAAAACTGGCCAAGAGTTACAATCTACTTTAACTGTTTTATCGTTTCACTGATTTTTCGGGAATATGTACGAATCCGAGGGAGATAGCGAAATTTTCGTTATAACCTTTTTTGTAGAGCGAATCAAGGGCTATAAAAAAGGTAATGATGAAAATTTCGCTATCTCCCTTAGATTTCGAGATATTCATTGAAATCTGGCCAAGAGTTACAATCTACTTTAACCGTGTTATCGTTTCGCTGATTTTTCGGGAATATCTACGAAACCGAGGGAGATAGCAAAATTTTCGTCATAACCTTTTTTGTAGAGCGAATCAAGGGCTATAAAAAAGGTCATGATGAAATTTTCACTATCTCCCTTAGATTTCGAGATATTCATTGAAAACTGGCCAGGGGTTAGAATCGATTTGAACAGTTTTACTGCTTCGCTACGGATTTTTAATTCTGAGGGACGGAGGTACCTGGGTTGTCATCCAGATGACGAAAACGTGGACTGGACCACTGTACATCATGGTGGGAACTCACGTTCATCGTTGTAACCTAGCGTATGTCATAATTTCAAGTTGAGAACAGAGTTTCATCTGTTTCGAGAGTCAACCACAGAAGAAGAAAAATTCTAAATTCTAGTTCTAGTAGAAACCTCTCAATTAAAGAGATTTAAATTTTCAATCGTTTTGAGAATTTTTTCCTTGACAATCAGAAAAATAAGTAATAGGAATTTTTAGTAATTTTTTTCCATATTTTCCAGCAATTGAGTCGTCTGCTGCATCCTCAACCCAAAAATATATTTCTCACATCAATAATATCCTGGGGAATTGGGATATTCATCATTCATTTATTCATTCTCGTAATCAGACTGGACTTCTCTATGAATTTAATGTGAGTTCATTTTATTTCACGTCAGGTTCAGTCGTTTCTTATAAGATACAGTACAAATAGATGTATTGTTCCGTACCGAAATTGAATTATAAGGATTGAATATTTGTTTCTCATTTTTCTCACCTAAAGTTCCATCCAACCTCACTCAAAAAAATAGGGATGAACATTAACGCAATGATAACAAGTGACAATTAAATATAATTACAATAGATCTGTAATTATCCGCTTAATTGGTGATCCTGATGGGAAATGTCGAGAAAACTCTCATTTTGTTCCAACAAAAGCGTTCCAGTGAGAACGAAAAAAATAGAAGAATCAATCACCCAAAAAAAACATCAAGGAAAAATTGAAGATAAATGAATCACTCATACCAAAAAAAAATCAGAAATAGCTCTCCACTCTTCCTCAGGATCGCTCCTAATGATCTCCACAGCCTCCTCCCTACTGCAGCCCTCCACATGTGAACAATCATGACGCGAAGTCACCTTGAAATACCTCTGAGCCTGCATCAACAACTCCTCCCTAAACGTAATGATCAAAAACTGGGCACTCCCACTCAACCCATGAACCAGCCCAGCCACAGAGGCCCTGAAGCTCTCATCAAGTGCCTTATCAATCTCATCAAGTAAATAAAAAGGCGCTGGCTTGAACCTATGAACAGCAAATATCAAAGTCAGAGCGATGACAGTCTTCTGTCCCCCAGAGAGCTGATGCATTCTCTCCACCTCCTGCCCCCCACCAAATGTCGCCCTCATCCTCACCCCCCTGACCCTCCCCCAATCGCCATCCTCCACCTCCCCCCCATCCTCATCCACTGGATACAGCCTAGCCCTCCCATTCACCACAATCTCCCCAAAAATCTCCCCAAAAAACTCGTTGATCCTCTCGAATCCAGCCCTCAAGGCCTCGACCCTCTCCGCCTCAATCCTCTCCACCTCCACCACGTAACTCCTCTTCCTCTCCTCCTCCTTCACCACCAGATCCTCCAAAGCCTTCAAATGTCCCTCCAACGCCTCCATCTTGCCCTTGATACCAGGCTCCACAGCCCCAAGAGCCTCCTCGTCCCTCCCCAGGTCCCTGATCCTCGCCTGCAACTCCTCCTTCCCCAATGCCTCGAAGATCCCCGCGTCCTGGACCAAGGGGACGGGCCCCTGGTTGAGATCCCACTCCCTCAGCCCCTTAATCTCCATCTCCAGAGTATCCACCCTAAATTTAATCATCTCCACGTGCTCCTTCGCTGCCTTCCAACCCTTCTCCCTCTCCAGGATTCTCCTCTGATCCTCTTGGATGACAGCAAGTCTTGTCCTGAGGAGATCTGGGGAGCAGTCCCCAGACCAGAGCTCAAGGTCGTCCTTCTCCTCCCTGTGACGAAGTAAAATGGTCCTCAGGGACTCCAGCCTCCCCTCGAGAACACGAATCTCCCCAGTCGCTGCTTCAAGCTCTCTCCTCAGTAACGAGGACTCCCTCCGCAGTTCCTCCATGGCGGCCTCAACCCCATCCACAGAAGTCCCCCCCAACTCCTCAATTCCCCCTCCTGCAGCCAAAAATTTGCGTCTCGACTCCTCGAACCTCATCCTCTTCTCCTCCAGGGACCTCTTCAAGGTCATGTAAACCCTGTTTATCCTCTCGAGTTGTATCGAGCCCTCTTCGGTGTCGAACTCAAGCCTCAAGAAGTGTTGTCTCGCCTCGGAGACCTTGAAGTCGAGCTCCTCGAGCCTGAGGAGCCCTCTCCATTTAATCTCCATGTCTTCGAGTTTGTCTCTGGATTCTCGGTACAATTCGTAGAGCCCTACGAGAGAAAAATTTCCGTCTGGCTGGTCACCTCTGACTTTCCCTCGGTCCTGGTAAATATTGTAATGAATGCTGTGAGGCATTTTCATTGGTCTTTAATATTGAAATTAATGCAATATTTAAGTGCCATTTTACGACGTTTCACTAATTATTTTCATGTTTAGCGAATTATATTAAGTATTAACGTGAGTAAACATGATTTTTTGTTAATTATTAATTGTTAACTATTAATGTCAATGATTAACGCGAGTAAATATTAATTATTAACAATTACGTTAATTGTCAATTATGTCTTCTTAATCGTTAATAGTTCATGATTGACATTAGTTGTTGATAATTAACATTTATCGTTTATCATTAGAATGAATAGATAGTTATTAATGTTAATGGTTAATTATTGACGTTAATAGTTAATTAGTGAAGTTAATAGGTAATAATTAACCTTAATTGTTAATAATTAACGTTAATCACAAAAATATTAATCCTCTCATGAATTAACAAAAACGTCAAAAACCATCAAAATAAAAATTATATAAATTAGATAAATAAATAAAAGTAACAAATAACTATTAATTTGAATCGTTAATTATTAAAGTGAATAGTTACTAATTAACAATTAACGTTAATTCTCAATCATTAACGTTAATTACAAAAATATTAACACCCTCATGAATCTATGATAAAGCTCAAATAATTAACAAAAACAAAATTGTCAAAATGAAAATTATATAAATCTTCTCTTAATTTCCAGCAACATCCCTTGGAATAATTTAAGATAACATGACCTTTAAAAATATTAAATGAAACATGAAAAATGAAAATCCAGCGAAATTTTTCCTTTTTACGCGCAAATATTAAAAATCTCCACCACCCACCTGTTTCCCCTCTCGGGTGATCCACCGGAGTCCACACCTCCTGGCAGCCTCCACCTCCACCTTCGTATTCCTCACAACAACAGTATCTCCAAAGACAAAATCCACAGCCTTCTTGAACTCCTCCTCACGAGGCACCAGGTACGAGGCCAGATAATCAAACTCCTTCGTCAGAGGCCTGACCCTCTGACGTCGGATATCCTTCAGGGAGATGAACTTAACGATTCCCCCCAGCTTCCGCTCAGCCTTCTCAAACATGATCTCGTCGATCACCTCCTGATCCCTCACGACGTGGTGAAAGAGTTTGTCAGCACCCCTGACCTCCACAGCAAGGGCCACCCCAGGGTCTCTGATGGTGAAGACATCCAGGAAGACCCCCTTGACTCCATTAACGAAGTAGCCCATGCCTTCCTTCTTCCTCCAGGCCTTCAGGATCTTCCTGACAGACTCGATCCCCTCGAGGACGTCCTTGATGCCCTCCAGCTGCAGCTGCTGCCTGATCGTCGTCACGTCCTTCGTCAGGGCCTCGATGTCGTCGTGGAGGCTGGCTGCCCTCACGTCCCCCAGGAGGTACTGCCTGGACTCCAGGAACTTTTCCCTCTGCCTCTTGTGATCGCAGAGCTGGAGCTCTGCTGCCCTCAACTGCTTCTCCAGGGCGTTCAGCCTCTCCTCAGATTCAATCTTCTGGGAGAGTATCTGGGCCACTTTGCTCTCCAGTTCTTCGTTCTCCAGGAGCACTTCCTCCTGGGGGGACTTGCTGGAGACCTGGGGGGAACTCTTGAGGGCTTTCCTCCTCCTGAAGAGGGCCAGCATCTGCTCCTCGTGGGCCTCCAGCTCGTGGGGGGCCTCTTCAACGGTTTTTCTTGCCTTCAGCAGCATCTCCTCGAGCATTTGCGACTCCTCCTCGAGGGCCGAGATCTTGAAGACTAGGTTCTGGCGTCGTTGGGCGAAGCTCTGGAGTTCTCCTGACTTCAACCCCTGGAGCTTCCTCTTTATTTCGGACTCTTCGAGCGAGAGCGCCTGGAGCTCCTCAGGGAGTTGGCTGCAGGCTTCCTTCGCTCTTTCAACTCTCAGGAGCTCCTCGTCGAGCTTTCGAAGGTGTGACGTCAAACTGCCGACGGTCAGGGTGCAGAGTTTGTGGTCCAGGTAACGTTTTCTCTCGGTGAGCTTCTGCAGGCGAGAGTTTTTGGCTCCAGTGAGGGAGAGCGTCTCGCGCAGGGCGACGATCTCTGGCTTCTTCTGCGAGAGGAACTCGGTTTTTTTGGAGATCTTGGAGAGGAGGTCCTCCAGGCGCTTCTGGTAGGCGGGGAGTCCAATTGCTGTGGAGATCAGTTTGAATCTGGGGAATTGGGGAGGTTTTTGGGTGAGATTAAGTGAATTTTTGGGGTGTTTTGAGGGGATCAATGTTTTTGGGGAGATTTTTTGAAGGAGGCACGCTTTTTATGCAAGTATAAATATTTTTTGAGTGCTTTTGCTGAATTGTTCAATTAAGGAGTTGGAGATTCTTCAATGAAAACTGTTTATTTCAAAATTGGGGAGTGTGGAAATCCTGAATTCAAGAATGAAGATTCCCCTTTCAACTCAAGAGTAAATAGTATTCTCTTTTCGAATGAAATATCATTAATGTGGATTAATAGCATTTTGAATCTGGGGAATTGGGGTGAGATTTAGGGGGTTAATGTTTTGGGGAATTTTTTTGAAGGGGGTACATTTTTTTATTTGAGAATAAATATTCTGCAATGTTAATTACGGAATTATTGAATTGTTGATTTGAAGAATTAAAGATTTTTTAATGAAAACTATTCAATTCAAGATTGAAGAATGTGGAAATCCTGAACTGAAGAATGAAAATTACCCTCTTAACTCAAGAATAAATATTCTCTATTTGAATGAAATATCATTAATATTGATTAATATCATTTTGAATCTGGGTAGATTGGGGAGAGCTTTTGGGATTGAGATGAATTGAATTTTCGGGGTGAGTTTTAAGGGGATTTATCTAATTTTATCAATTTATCCAGTTTTTTGGGAGAATTTTTTGAAGAGATGGTACATTTTTTATTCAAGAATAATTATTCTTTAATGTTGATTGTTGAGTTGAGGAATTAAACATTCTTGAATGTATTCTCTTCTTCATCATCAGATATTCTGGACTCAAAAATGAGTTTTCTACATTCAAAGATAGAATAATATTGAATGCAAACTATTCAATTCAAGAGTTTAAAATGTGGAAATCCGGAATTCAAGAATGAAGATTCCTCATTCACCACTGAACCTTTAACTCAAAAATATCTTCTGGACATTCTCAAGTAAAACATATTCTCCTCTCCATAACGACTTCGTAATTCTCCATTCAAGAACATTCCCCTCTTAACTCCACAGTAAATATTCTCTATTGGAGTGAAATATCATTAATATTGGCTTCTCACCTGACAGAGCCAGTGACTAGATGAGCCACATCGTCCGGTCGAATGATGTGGTAAGGATTCTCCCTGGGGAAGACTGGTGAGAGGAGCTGGAAGAGGTCTGCGGGCTCGAAGCTCTCGTTGTTGATGGTGATGCGGTCGAACTCGAGGGAGATCACCCTGCGGATTCGAACCTCTGGGGCGTCTACTGAGAGGACATTGTCGTCGTTCGAGAGGATTATCTCGACTGAGGCCGATCTCGTGTGGTTTATGGGGCTGTTGTTGATCACTGAGAACCTTTGGTCTTCTGGGATTGGGTAGTAGCGGTCGCTCAGGACGAAGCTGATGGACTCCAGGAGGCTGCTCTTGCCGGAACCGTTGAGACCAACTAGGAGGGATTATCATTGAAATCATGATGATGATCGATTATTTGATATTGCAGAAGTGTGATGAACATTGTTGGATCCTGATAAATGTCGAATTATCTCGGTAATTAATGGTTCTAGGAGAAAATGTCAGAAGGAATTTTTTGTGGAGAATTTCCTCAGCTACAAAAATGATCTTGTGACGTTTTCCTCTAAAATGACTCATTACCAAGATAATTGCATAATCCCTGCACCAATCATCGGTTTCATCATTGAAAAAAAATCCCCTCCATTGTCTCCAACAAATCGTCCAAGAATTCTTGAAAATGCCCTCTTGTTCACCAGCAAAATGCAAAAAATTGTTACAAACCTATGGCATTGTGTCCTGGGTGCAAGCCATCGAAAACATGGTGTCCCCTGTAGGACTTGAAGTTCTCGATGACGATCTGAAACGAAGAATAAAGTGTTTTCTCTTCACGAAAAAGGAAAGAAAAAGTGATTGATAGATATTCCAGATGACTTGAGGGGTCCATTAACGATAATTAAGGGGTAAAATTCCTTAATTACCTGCTTGATGTGCATTTTGGAGCATCCAATCGGCACTCTGTACTTCACCGGCTTGTAGAATGCTGAGAACGTTGGGATTGGTGGAAATATGAAACAATGAGGGGTACTTCCGGCAACAGTGCTGCCATTTTTACTCACTCTCATTCAAAACTCGCTTCCTACTCCTTTTCGCAATCGTCTCAAGCTAAATATTCTCAATTAATTTAATTTAATTCGTTTTATTTCATGAAGTTCCAGTTCTTCTTTGTGAGATACAGTACAGACAAACGAATGGTTTACAATGATATTAAATTACAGTCATCCAACACTTTTGGGGCATTTTTCTTACAGAAAGTTGCCTGCAATCACGAATAAAAAAATAATAAAAATGGACAAATGAATAGTAGAGTCTAAATCTGGCACGAGCTTACGACAAACTCTGCAGCAAATGAACAAATAATGTAAAAATAATTGAAGAATCATTCACTCATCCTCAGGATCCCTCCTAATGATCTCCACAGCCTCCTCCCTACTGCAGCCCTCCACATGTGAACAATCATGACGAGAAGTCACCTTGAAATACCTCTGAGCCTGCATCAACAACTCCTCCCTAAACGTAATGATCAAAAACTGGGCACTTCCACTCAACCCATGAACCAGCCCAGCCACAGAGGCCCTGAAGCTCTCATCAAGTGCCTTATCAATCTCATCAAGTAAATAAAAAGGCGCTGGCTTGAACCTATGAACAGCAAATATCAAAGTCAGAGCGATGACAGTCTTCTGTCCCCCAGAGAGCTGATGCATTCTCTCCACCTCCTGCCCCCCAACAAATGTCGCCCTCATCCTCACCCCCCTGACCCTCCCCCAATCGCCATCCTCCACCTCCCCCCCATCCTCATCCACTGGATACAGCCTAGCCCTCCCATTCACCACAATCTCCCCAAAAATCTCCCCAAAAAACTCGTTGATCCTCTCGAATCCAACCCTCAAGGCCTCGACCCTCTCCCCCTCAATCCTCTCCATCTCCACCTCGTAACTCCTCTTCCTCTCCTCCTCCCTCACCACCAGCTCCTCCAAAGCCTTCAACTGCCCCTCCAACTTCTTCATCTTGGCCTTGATGCCAGAGTCCACAGCCCCGAGACTCTTCTCCTCCCTCCCCATGTCCCTGATCATCCTCTCCAACGCCTTCTTCCCCATATCGTCAAAAACCCTGTGGTTCCGGATGCTGGGGAGGGTCCCCACGTTGGCGAGCCTCTTCTCCCACTCCCCCATCTTCTCCTTCAGGCTATCCATCTTCGATTCAATCGTCTCCACGTCCTCCTTCGCTGCCGCCCAGATCATCCTGGCCTTCTCCACCTCAAAGTCCAACTCCCTCAGGGTCTTCTCCACCTCTGACAACTGCTTCGTGAGTGCGATTATCTTCTCGTTGATCGGCTCCAGCCTCTGGCCCACCTCCTCCAGGTTCCTCCTGCATTTCTCCTGGTTCTGCTGGACGACAACCAGTCGCTCCTGGAGGAGATCCGGGGAATAATCCCTTGCATGCTCTTCCAGCTCGTCCTTGTCCCTCTGAAAACGAGAGAGAATTTCCCTGATGGAGCTCAATCTGGTCTCCAGGTGGGGGATGTCAGCAGTCGCCTTCTTCTTTCGTTTCTCCAGCCACAAGGAGTCCTCCTGGAGCTGCTGAATGGACACCTCGACTTCCTCGACGGACGTCCTCTCCAGCTCCTCGATTTCTGCCTCCACGACTGAGAGCTCCAGCCTCGACTCCTCCAGTCTCATCTTCGTGTCGTTCAGGTACTTCCTCAGGGGGAAGTACTCGTCGTTCGCCAGCTCGAGGCTTCTGGAGGCCTCGGCAATGTCGATCTGCAGGCGTGAGATGTGCTGCTCAGACGCGTAGATCTTCATGTCGAGTTTTTGGAGGTCAGACATGGGCAGGAGGAGCTCCTCGTCGGTCCGCTGGAGGGAGTAGAGAAGGCGCTTGTAAGTGGACTTGACCTCGTCGAGCCTGTCTCTCTGCTCGGAGAACTCTCTGTAGAGCTCTACTCGAGAGGTCGTGTTGTCTCGAAAACCACCTCTGAATTTTCCCTTCCCCAGGACCTGGTGAACGTAAATAAACAAGTGGGAAATTGCTCGTGTATAGTTCAGGAACGAATTTCGGTCAGTTTTCAGTGAATATCTCGGAATCTAAGGGAGATGGCCAAATTTTTGTTATAATCGTTTTTGTGGAGCCGATTAAGAGCTACAACAAATGTAATCACGAAAATTTCGCTATCTCCCTTAGATTCGGAAATATTCCACAAAAACTCAACGGAGAGATGAGTCGACTTGAACTGTTTCACCACTTCGATAGTTATTTTAATAATAAATTAGCAATATGCTTCCGAATGGCTATTTTGCACATCATTTCATTCCGCCATATATAACTCATTGTTTACTTCATTTTCTTAAATTGAATAAGCTTTCCCCTCCCCTTAAAATAAACTAATTACAATTACGATTACAAAGTATCCATTCGGCAGCAAAAACAGTTGAAAATAACGATTCAACTTTGAGATGGTTTAGAATATTATTTTAACCTGTTGTCCTTGGGGAGTAATCGCCTGGAGGTCGTGCGTCCTCGCAACAGCAATGCCATCCTTCAGATTTATCACGATAACAGTCTTCCCGAAGACAAAGTCCACGGCCTTCTTGAACTCGTCCTCACGCGGCACCAGAAACGAGACCATAGGTCTGCAATTAAACTCCTCCCTCGGGGGATACCTCACCTCGAGATCCTCAACATCCCCCAGAGGGATGAAATTAACGATTCCCCTCAGGCTCCTCTCCCTCATCTCCCTCAAAACCTCAGAGATCACCAGCCTGTCCCTCACGACATGATGGAACAGCTGGTCGCCACCCCTGACCTCCACGGCAAAAGCCACCGAAGGCTGACTGCAGGTAAAAACCTCCAGCAAGATCCCCTTGACCCCATTAACAAGGTCCAACCTGTCATCCCTCTGCCTCCAGTCATCCAGAATCTTCCTCACCGACTCGATCCCCTCGAGAACATCCCCTCTAACCACCACCTGCAGCAGGGATGGCCATCAATCTTCCGATTCTTCAGTATTAAAAGAATTTCCGACTCACATTGATAAACGTTTAAATATACCCATCGAAATTAAAAAATAGTAAAATAATTGATAATCTAAATTTCCAATTGATGATGAATTAAATATTTGATAACATGGAACTGTAAATTTTCTATCAAGTAAATAATCCTAAATTTCTTAAAAGGGATTATCGATTATCCAAATAATCGTCAATCTTCCTCCCTAAATTACTGATTAATAAATAATTCGGAATTTGGATATTTAAATTGACGATCACTTCAATAATTAAAATTAAAAAGTGATGTTAACGAACTGACTACTTAATAATTTAACGGTAATTATAATTCATGAATATGGCTATCCCTGACCTGGAGCTTTCGTTTAATCGTCCCAATCCTGTTCACCAGTGTCTCAATGTCATCACGAAGCATGTCTGCCTCCCTCTGCAGCTCCTTCCTCCTCCCCAGGAGGTCACACCTCGACCTCTGCAGCTCTTCCTTCTCCCTCTTCTGATCACGAAGCAGCAGCTTCACTTCGTTCAACTGATTCCTCAGTTTCCCCAGCTCCTTCTCACCTTCGGTCTTCCGAGCGAACGCCTTCTCCACGTTGATCTCCTGCTGGGCCACCTCCTCCTCCTCCTCCCGAATGGTCCTGGTGACTTGGGAAGCCCTTGGCATTATGTCACTGAGGTCGTGATCCCCTGCCCTCAGCTTCTCCACCATCATCTTCTTCCTGAAGAGGCCCACCAACTGGTACTCGTGGCGCTCCAGCTCTCGACAGGCCTCGTCACAGCCCTCCCTCGTCTCCAGCAGCTCCTTCTCGATCGTCTTCGACTTCTCCTCGAGGTCGGAGATCCTCGAGACTAGCTTCTGTCGTCGTTCGTCGAAACTCTCGAGCTCCCCTGACTCCAAACCCTGGAGTTTCTCTCGTATTTCCGCCTCCTCGAGGCCCAGGGCGTTCAGCTCCTTCGTCAGCTCGATGTCTTCGGCCTCTGCCTTCCTCTTCAGCTTCTTCAGCAGGTCGATCTCCCCCTGGAGGGAGTTGGCCTCAGCGTTCAAGGCGACGCACTCCGAGTTGACGCTCTCGTAGGCTTTTCTTGCTCCCTCGGCCTTCAGGAGCTCCTCCTCGTAGGGCTCTGCGAGCCGGGAGAGGTCGGACTTCAACTCCCGGAGGTTCAGACCGTAGAGCTTGTGCTCCAGGTAACGCCTCGTCTTGTTTATTCTGGTGAAGTGCTGGTATTTGGTCGTCATGGAGGACAGCTTATCGCTGTGGCGGTCGAGGTCCGCCTGCAGGTGCTCGATGTGCTCGGTTTTCTTCGCGATCTCGGAGACGAGGTTCGTGATACCCTCGTCGAACTTGTGGACTCCGATCGCTGTGGAGATTACTTTGAACCTGGGAGAGGAGGGGAGAACGGTTGGGATTGGGAAGAGGGGGTTTTAGGGGTTTTGGGAGGGAATCATTTTTTTTAATGAATTTGGTGGAGCGTTTTTTATTGGAGGGTAAATGGTCTTTGTGATCAGTGGTAATTGTTGAATTTGGGGAGTAAATAGTCTTGAATATTCGTTTCTTGGATTGAAAGGATTCTGTTCTTGAAGAGAAAATATGGAGGTTCTTAAGGACATAAGATATTTTTGATTCAAAATGAAATAGTAGTGAATAAGAAATATTGGAAAGTTGAATTGAGAATGCAGAAATTATCAATTGAGAAATGAAGTGTCTTGAGTCGAGAATGAAGATTCCGCATTCAGAACTGAAATGTTCTGGAATAAAATGATAGCTTCTTGATGTTCTGGAATAAAATAGATTCTCCTCTCGATCAAAATTCCAAAATACTGCATTCGAGAATAGATATGCTTCGTAATGAATGTTAATTGTTAAATTAAGGAAAGCAGTATTCTTGAATAGAGAATAGTCTATTCTTAGATGAAAAGTATTCTCTTCTTGAATGGAGAATGCAGAATTTATCAATTGAAGAATAAATAATTATTTAAAAATGATTATTCTGCATTCAAGTATAAAATATTCTTAAATAAAAACTATTCAATTCAAGAATTAAGAATATGAAAATGCTAAATTCAAGAATGAAGATTCCTCATTCAAAACTGAAATGTTCTAGACTCAAAAATATCTTAAACCATATTGCCTCTTAACTCAACAGTGAATTCTCTCGATTCAAAAGAAATATTATTACTATTAATTCCTCACCGGGCAGAGTCAGTGCCAGTGGCCAGATGAGCCACCTCGTCCTGTCGAACGATGTAGTAGGGGTTCTCCCTGGGGAAGACTGGTGAGAGCAGCTGGAAGAGGTCTGCGGGATCGAAGCTCTCGTTGTTGATGGTGATGCGGTCGAACTCGAGGGAGATCACCCTGCGGATTCGAACCTCTGGGGCGTCTACTGAGAGGACATTGTCGTCGTTCGAGAGGATTATCTCGACTGAGGCCGATCTCGTGTGGTTTATGGGGTTGTCGTTAATCACTGAGATCGTTTGGTCTTTTGTGATTGGGTAGTAGCGGTTGCTCAGGACGAAGCTGATGGACTCCAGGAGGCTGCTCTTGCCGGAACCGTTGAGACCAACTAGGAGGGATTATCATTGAAATCATGATGATGATCGATTATTTGATATTGCAGAAGTGTGATGAACATTGTTGGCTCCTGATAAATGTCGAATTATCTCGGTAATTAATGGTTCTAGGAGAAAATGTCAGAAAGAATTTTTTGTGGAGAATTTCCTCAGCTACAAAAATGATCTTGTGACATTTTCCTCTAAAATGACTCATTACCAAGATAATTGCATAATCCCTGCACCAATCATCGGTTTCATCAGTGAAAAAAAATTCCCCTCCATTCTCTCCAACAAATTATCCAAGAATTCTTGAAAATGCCCTCTTGTTCACCAGAAAAATGCAAAAAATTGTTACAAACCTATGGCATTGTGTCCTGGGTGCAGGCCATCGAAAACATGGTGTCCCCTGTAGGACCTGAAGTTCTCGATGACGATCTGAAACGAAGAATGAAGTGTTTTCTCATCACGAAAAACGAAAGAAAAAGTGATTGATAGATATTGCAGATATTCCCAGGCGACTTGAGGGGTTCATTGATGACAATTAAGGGATAAAATTCCTAAATTACCTGTTTGATGTGCATTTTTGAGCCGGAGGTCAATCCTCTGTACTTCACCGGCTTCTAGAATGCAAAAAGCGAGGGAAATTGGTGGAACTAGGAAATAATGGCGGTCATTTCCGACTACAGTGCTGCCATTTCCGGTCCACTTCCACTTCAAATATTGTTTATTCATTCAGCTATTTGTGAACCACAAAACTCTCAAAAAATACCGGAGACATCGTTGAAAATGCGCATTAATTGAAGAATAATTGCTAAAAATAAACGGAATATCTTCATTTTTTTTCATTTTTTTATTTTTTGAAAAATTGTCAGCTCCATTAAAATTACAAATAGAAGAGCGACTCAACATTTCACAGTTGAACCCTCGCGAATCGAATTATAATTATAGCAGAAACTATGAAAAATTGATAAATGATGTTTTTTTTTGTTCATAATAAAAATAAATATGTTTTTGCTTTTATCCGTGGGTTGTGTCGTCCTCGACGAAGTCAGCAGCCTCTTCCCTCGTGACGCACTCAACGTGAGACACTTTATTCCTGAATTTAACGCCGTAGAATTTGTTTGCGTGCTGCAGCAATTCAGGTCTGAAAAAATAACAAAAATTGTTACGCATCATTTTTTAAAAATCATGAATTATTCTGCAAAAATTTTCCCTTTCTTTGTTTTTATTCCGATTTAGATACATTAATTCAGTAATTTTTTTACGCTTTAGGTGATTTTATGTTATTTTTAATGTTTTTTTAAAGACTCAACTGCGTGAATAATTCATTTTTCCTATAAAAATGTTTACCTGAAAGTCGTGGTGATGAATTGTGCGTCAGAGCTTAGTTCGTGGATCATATCGGCGACAGCCTTCCTGTGCTGGGCGTCTAGAGCCTGATCGATCTCGTCAAAGAGATAGAAAGGGGCTGGGTCGCACTTCTGAATGGCGAATATCAAGGCAAGTGCCACGAGAGACTTCTGCCCTCCCGAGAGTTGATTCATCTCCCTCATCTCTGCTTTTTGTCCAGTGAACGATACTCTAATCCCTGAAAAACCCCAAAGATAAATAAAATAATAAAATTAAAATCCTTCCAAAACCCCAGAGAAAATCCTCAAAACATTATTTCAAATCATGAAGAATAATTGAAGAATGATTCGAGTTCATACGAAAATGATTAAAACATCATTTGATAAAAACGTCTCAAATTTTTTGTTTCTCTAAAGCATCAACTAAAACATCGTAAAAAATGATTGAAAATTTGTCTAAAATCCTCAAATCAATGATTAAAAAATTTAAATATTCTTTTAAAATTATAAATATTAATTTCAAGTCATAACAAGGTCGGAAACATCATTTTAATTTATGAAAAGTCATTGGAAATGTAATTAATGTCCCAAATATCACTCGAAAATGATCCTAAATCGTTCAACGATCATCTAAGATCGTGAAAAATCATCCGAAGACGATTTAAAATTCTAACTGTTCGTTCAACGTGCTAAATAACAACCTCAAATCATGAAAGATTTTTAAATCATCATTCAGAATGATCAATAATCATTAAAAACCGTTCAATGTCCATTCAAAAACTATTTGTGAACATAAAAAATCATGAAAAACTCATATGAAATTTCAAGTATTTCAGTTAAAAATGATGATAAATCATTGAATCATCATTTATAATGCTAAAAAATTATCGAAAAAAAATTAAAATACTAAATATGTGTTAAAAACCCCAATTAATGACCTCAACTCATGAAAATGCGTTAAAGATCATTCGAAATAATGCTAAATCATTAAATTATGATTTTAAATCACAGAAAAATCATTCAAAGATCTGAATATTCTTAAAAATTCCTGAACAATGACCTTAAATCATGAAAAACCCACAATTCACCATTCAAACTAATGAAGACAATTATTAAAAACTCATCAAATCGTTTAAAGCCCTAAGAAATCATTGTAAAAAACTAATTGAAATCCCCAAATATTAAAAATCATTAAATTATTATTATCAAAGATTTGAATATTCTAAAAAATTCCTGCACAACGACCTTAAATCATGAAAACTCCCAATTTACCATTAAAACAAACAAAAAAAAAATCATAAAAAATCATCAAATCCTAAAAACCCCTAAAAAATCATAGAAAAACTACTTAAAAACTCCAAATATTCACCCAAAATCCCCAAACCGGCACATCAACTCACCAACTCCAATGAACCGATCGGAATCCGCAGCAGTGGACGTATCATCATCGCCCTCCTCGCCATCAGCAGTCTTCATAACGAGTTGTGCATGCCCAGTGGGCACGAGTTTCTTGAATACCTCGCTGAAGTACTTGCTGACCTGTTTAAAAGTAAACTGAATGGCCTCGCACTTCCTCATCTCCAGTACATTCATCAGCTCCTTGATCTTCTCATCGCCCCTGTCCAACTCCTCCTTCCTCTTCACCAGTTTCTCCTTCTGATCACTGAACGACATGAACTGATCCAGCGCCTTCTTATTGACATGGCTGTACTTCTTCAGCTGATTATTGGCCTTCTCCATCTCCTTGAACAGCTGCTTCGTCGACATATTCCCAAACTTCTCATAAGCCTCGGGGGAGGGTAGGGCCCCCAATTCTGTAATCTTCTGCGTGCACTCAGCGATCTTCTGCTGAAGAATGTTCTGCTTGCTGGCAAGCTTCTCAAGGTCCTTGGCATCGGACTCTATCTTCTCCTGGACTTCCTTCTCCTTCGCCTTCCACTTCTCCACCTCAGCGGCCTCAGCCTTCTGCTTCTTGGTGGCGGCCCCCACCCTCTCATTCATCGCCTTGAAGTCCGAATTGACCTTGACCAATCGCTTCTCAATGTCCGACAGCTGCGCCTTGGAGGTCTCCAACTGCCTCTGTCTGTCCTCCACCGAGATCTCCTGCAGCGCCTGCACCAGCTCGTCCTTCCTCCGATGGAGATTATTCGTGAGAAGATTCTCCAGCTTGTTCTTCTCCGCCTCGAGCCTCATACGTTTGGCGAAAGCCTCCTTATTCTCCTTGGTGAGCGTTCTGATCTCGTCGTTGAGGGTGTCCACCTGGCGCTGATCAGCCACCGACAGCTGTGCCATCAAGTCCTGATGGAGTTCGCTCTCAAGACCCTCCTTAGTCGCCCTCATAGCCTCGAGATTCGATGTACACTGCGCCAGACTCCTCTCCTTCGGCGTTCTGTACCTCTCGATAGCCGACAACTCCTCCTTCATCAGCCTGATCTCCGCCTTCATCTTGTCGTAGATGTCCTTGGCCTTGCTGTTCTTCGTCTCCGTTCTCTGCATCTCACTGACGTAAGACGAGATATTCTGGTCAGCCTTCTTGATCTCATCCCTCAGGGTCGACAGCTCGTTCTCCATCGTAGCGATTTGTGCCATCAGTTCAGACCTCGTCTTCTGGATCTCCAGCCTCGACCTCAGGGTGTTGAAGTACCCCCCAGTGAGTGACCCCTTGGAGGACACCTGATCCCCCTCCAGAGTGACACAGTCCAGCCCTGAAGTCCTCGCCAAATTGGTAGCAGCTTCGAGATTCCTGCAGATGAGAGTCTTCCCGAAGATGTACCTCATCGCCCTGTCGTACTTGGCGTCGTAATTGAGCTTTGAGATCATGGGGATGGCGTCGCTTGTGTCAGGATAATCAATGGTCTTGACGTGCAGACGATTGAGGGGCATGAAGGTGACCTCCCCCGGAAGCCTCTGGTTGTTCATCTCCTTGAGGATCTTCGTCCCAAACTTGTCGGTCTCCACGATGTGATGGAAAAGCCTGTTGCCAGCTGTCACCTCCACCGCCATGTAAACACTCTTATCGCAGTCAAAGTTCTCGATGACAGGACCGTAGTACGAGTTGACCTCGTGCGCCATGTCAGGTCGTTCCTTGAAGGTCTCGAGCACCCTTCGCACCGAGTCCCTTCCATTGAGAATGGGCTTCCCCGCCATGGACCTGAGGCTCTGGTCGGCCTTCGCCAGATCCTCCTTCAACCCAGACAGATTCAGCTGCAGGACACTCTCCTTCCTGTACTGCTCCTTCCTCTGCGCCTGGCAAGCGTCCTTCTGCTTAGTCAGCTCGTAGTAGTGCTTGTTGTGCTCGTCGATAGACGCCCTCTGCTTCTCCATCTCCTTCGTGTACTCCTCGATCTTCTTCTCGAGGTCCTTCTGCTTCTCCGCGTCCTTCTTCAGGTCCTCGCTGATCTTCTTCTGGTGCTCCTCCTTGTCCCTGATCTGCTTAGTCAGCTGCTTCAGCTCATTCTGAATCCATTTGTCTCTGTCGTCCTTGCTCGTGAATTGCGAGCCCCTTCCCTGCTTGGCGTAGAGCTCCTTTCGCTTCTGCTCCTTGAGCCCCATCGCTCGAGTGTACTCCTCCTCCCTGCGCTTCATCTCCTCGTACTCAGGGCGGATTTTCTCGAGTTCTTTCTCCCTCACCGCGATGTTCTCCTTGAGCTTCTCGAGCTCCTGCTGCGCTCGCTTCCTGCTGTCGTTGTCGCCTTTCACTTCCTCGAGGAGATCGTTTATCGTGAGTGTGAGCTTCGTTTTCTCCTTGAGCAGCTGCTGCTGCTCAGCGCTCAGAGTGTCTCGCTCCTCCTTGGCCGATTGGACCTCCTTCTTGGCTTCCTTGAGGCGCTTCGAGGCCGCTCGCACGTTCTCTTGAGCGGTCTTCGCTTCTGAGCCGAGCCGCGCCTGTTCGGCCCCACTGTTCGCTCGAGACGCCTCGAGGTCCTCGAGCTTTCGCTTGTTCTCCTTGAGCTCGCGCTCGTGAATCGTGTACTCGAGGCATCTGCGCTGCTTGTCCCAGCGCTGGTACTCCTTGAGTTCTTCTTTCTCTTCTTTGAGCGTCTGCAGCCGCTCCTCGATCGTTCTGAGGAAGTCGTCGATCTTCTCGAGCTTGCCTTCTGTCTCTTTGAGGATGGATTTTGACTCCTCGCGGCGGTCGTCGTACACGCGGGTACCCGCCACCTCGCGGAGGAGCTTCAGACGCTGCGAGTCGGGGGCGGTCGCCATTTGGTTGATCTTACCTTGTTTGACGATGTAGTAGGGGTTCGAGCGGGAGAAACCCGCGGACTCGAGGAGGTTCATCACGTCGCTACGGGTTACGTTTTTTTTGTTTAGGAAGTACTGGTCTTTTTTCGAGCCGATCACGCGGCGGAGGTAGACCTCGTCCTTGTCGATCGGGAGGCGACCGTCTGAGTTGTCGAAGATTATCTCGACGTGGGCGGAGATCACGCGGGGACCGGTCCCCTCGTGCAGCAGGCCCTGGCGCTGGTCGGGCCGGAGGTGGGAGAACTCGTCCGAGAGGACGAATTGAATCGCGTAGAAGAAGTTACTCTTGCCGGAACCGTTTCGACCGACTGGAAGTTACGGGAGGGTGAGCTTTTAGGGGGATTCTTTTGGTGTTGAGGGGTGGATATTAAAAAAATTTATATTGATGAGGAAACAATGATGATGGTAAGGGAAATTTAAGGAGGATGAGATTAATTCATTTTTGTACGTGAATTGAGCGTTTGGTGATGGGGAGAAAATTAATTCGATGATTTTGGGGGGATAATTAGTGATATTAATTATTAATTGTTGAGACGGGAGTGGGAGGAGTCGTCGGAGAGGACACGTAGAAGAAGGTACTCTTGCCGGAACCATTTCGACCGACTGGAAGTTACGGGAGGGTGAGCTTTTTAGGGGGATTCTTTTGGTGTTGAGGGGTGGGTATTAAAGAAATTTATATTGATGAGGAAACAATGATGATGGTAAGGGAAATTTAAGGAGGATGAGATTAATTCATTTTTGGACGTGAATTGAGCGTTTAGTGATGCAGAAAAAATTAATATTCTAATTTTGGAGGACGAATTATCGGTATTCATTATTGATTATTATAATCATTGTTTAATTTTACGTTTGAATCGAGTCAAGGTGTCAAAACTATGTAAAGTTAGTATTAAGCTTTACACGAAGTGAGTTTCTTCTCTCATTTTTACACTCTTTTAATGTTAATAACAATGTACAGCTTCTTGATCCCGTGAAAATGGGGTCAATATCCCCAATAAATAAAAAATCGAAGGAAAAGTTAGAAGATGGTTGAAATTTTTGGAAATGCAATTGAATTCATTCCCCAATAAAATTCCTCATTCACTGATTCGTAACAACTTCATTCAACGATTAGAAAATTTTTGAAAATTCATTATGAATTTTCATCCGCACGACAAAATGATTTTAGTAGTAATGAAAAATTCAAATTGCAGTTGAAATTGAAGGAAAACTATAGATAACTGCATTTTAACATTGAAATTCACGACTTACTTTAAGGAAAAAATGATTCACCCATTAAAAAAAATTGAGGACTGATTATTGATGAAAAAATAGTGAAAAAATGGATTTTGGAGAAGTACGAAGGAGAAAATTTTAAAAATGTGTACAGGATGATTTCCTTGGAATAAAAATTGATACTTACCCACAACATTGTGCCTAGGATCGAATGGCTCGACGACCGTCTGTTCTCTGTAGGACTTGAAGCCCTGAATAATAACCTGACCCAAAAAAAAACAAATCATTCAATTATCCCCAAAAATAATCCCAAATTCAGTTCATCAATTGTTTGATGAGCATAACCTCAACGTCCCCAGACGATTTCACCAATAATTCACAAAATAAAAGGATTCAGAGGACGAGAACGAGATTCTCTCGTGGGAATTGTTGTATTTCGAGGACAATTCAACACTCGAATAATTGTTAATTTATTTAAAACGCAGAAAGCGTCATTTTCTTGAGAACGTTTGATGTCTCAAGCTCCAAGTGTTTGTCGAGGGTAAATATTGATATTGGGGACTTCTCACCTGCTTGATGTACATCCTGAATCGTCCTCGGCTATTTCAACATTCTCAAAAATATGAAGTCTCAATTTTTTGTTCAGTAAATATGAATTTGCTCTACGTCAGGAACAACAAAAACATTGTCAAATCCAGTGGGCAGCCGACATATTGCCGAATTCATTCAATATGGGGAATTAAAAGTCACTAGATTAGGCGGGAGCTCATTTTTTGCCAACAACTAATGATGAAAAAACTCTAGAATATTTAAATGATGAATAAATTCCTGTTTTTCACATTAAAAAGTCATTTTTTGTTGTAAAAAAAGAAAAAAATGATTGAAAAACTTTATTAGAGAATTTATTTTATAAAAAAAAACTCCAGAAAATGCAAATGAAAAAAACAAAACATTGTTTTGCGTTGAAGATAATTTGTTGCAACAAAAAGAATAAAAATTGAGTGAAAAACTATTGAAGAATTTATTCAATAAAAAGACTAGAAAATTCAACTGAAGGAAAAAAACATTTTTTTTTCGTTAAACAATCTTTTTTTTTAATAAGAAAAGGGAAATAATTGATTTTCAATTTCCATCCACTAAAAAATTGTTTAAATCAGTAATAAAATTCATGAAAATTCTGTAGAAAAGATCGCTGAATAGTTTATTTTCCATCGTTTCAATTTATTAAGACAGTTCCTTAAATAATGAAAAATATTAGATTAAGACTAATGATGAATACTGAGAGCATCACTCTGCGCTTCGTGGCTCAATTGCGTCTGCAGATTCGATAATTTGTTCTTCAGTGCAGCAATTCCCATCATGACGATGTTCTCGGGCTTCAGGGCTCCACTGCTCTCGACGTTGAAGAAGTACTTGTTGGGTTTTGCCTCCCAGTTGAATGGGGCTTCGTCTGAAAAACAAAAAAAAACAATTTGAGTCAAAATAATATAATGAATGACCTAGTGAAAACATTAATTTATATTCAATATTCATTCATTTATCTTTATTCATTCAACTTTCACTAAAATTATTATATTTCTGTTATTACCACAGATAAGCATAATCATAAATTACAATTGTCATTTATTTCATGAATACTCAATCAAGTAATAGAACTTAATAATTTTCAATTATTAAATTAATCAACAATTAAATATTCAAATTCCGAATTATTTTACCAATCAATAATCGAATTCGGAAGATTGACGATTATTTGATAATCTCTAATATTTTTAGGAAATTTCCAATTATTTACCTAATAGTTATTTGAAAATTTAAATTCTCAATTATTTTATCATTTTCTAAATTCCAATGAATTCAATTATTTTAAGGAAAAATTCTCTCAATATTTCTAAAATAATGATTGATACCGATCACTGGTTATTATACATTTCTTTCGGTATTTTGAATTTCATTATTGGCTTTGACGACTGCATTCGTATTTCGTAAATAAATGAATGAATAAAATTTAAATAAAAATTAGGGGGTTTGTCTCTGCTGACGATTTCTACGTACATTGATCTTCCTCTAGCTCACTGTACTCTGATTTTGGCCACTCGTCGGGCTTCGGGAAGAGGGTGTGACGCATGGTGTTGTCAGGATCGTACTCGAAGCAGACACCGGCTGTTGGATTCCACTTGGCATGCTCCTTGCCGAATCCCTTCTTGGCATAGGCTCTCAGCTTCAATTCTTGTCCTTTCCTGAGCTTCACAATCAATATTTCTGTAATAAACGTGAATTTTGATCAATCTCAGGCATAAATGATTTTATTAGTGAAATAAAATTCAAAATGTCTCGAAAACTAAGAGGTTTGGACAAAATTCCGTAAGACATTTTTTGTAGAGAATTTAATTCTGAAGAAAAATGATTTGTGACATTTTTTTCTGAAATTATTCGTTTACGAGATATTTGGGAATGAAACGTTTGTGGAATTCTAATATTCTTCTTTTTTCTAGTGCACACTTACTATTTCGTCAAAAAAATATGTAACAAAATGTTAAAATACATTTTTCGTAGGAAATTAAATTCTACGAAAATCGCAATTGTCTATATAATTCTCTAATTAATGTAGATTTCCCCCAACTATCAAATAAAGATTTTCCAACTATTTCAATCATCTCTAGGAGTTCTAGGCTGAATGAAGAAAATGAAATAAAAGAAACTGTCTTCCATCGTCAATAACTCCCCACAAAATGAAGCGATTTAGACGAATCAGGTTTCATCCTCAAGCTTTAAAAAATACCTCAAAAATGAAAAAAAAATGAAGGAATTTCACTCTGCCATTCTCGAGTTATTGGCGCTCAAAGCCAGTGCATTGACCCAACTCTTCTTAAAAATCCTTCAACAAATAATTGTAATTACCGTCAGTCTCTCCATATTCGCTAGCATCATCCTCCCTGTGTCTGGACGTCACCGGCAGGACCCTGGGGTCACTGGACTTGAGGTCAGCAGTGGTAACATGCCTCGTCTGCTCCTCAGAGCACTTCACATCGAGTGTGAACTCCACACTGCACTCAGGACAAAAGTCCATGCACGAGCAGTCCCTGGAGTACTGGATCTTCTCCACTACCTCATCACTGATCAAGGGGATCATTCCGATCCTGTGGGCGAGGAACTCGTCGCTGAGGACTGTTGAGTTCGCCTCCAGCTGGACCCAATCAATGGCTAGGGTTGGGGTTTCAGCGATGAAGACTCGTCTCATGCTGTTTGCAACACTAAAAGAATAATTTGGGGAATTAAAAATTAAATTTTGAGGGAGAAACGGTATAATAATGCTTTACTCATCATTTTCCATGCAAATACATGATTTTTATGATTAATAGGAGAGGTTTAATGATTGAAAACTCATTATTGATGGATAAGCCATTAGTAAATAATTTTGAATGATTGGAAATATTTTTAATTTATTTGAAAAAGAATTGTAATGGTTGTGCAACTGTAAATTGATTGAGTTTTTCAATCAATGAAGCACCAGAAATTAATTATTTTTTATGATGAAGCAGAGGTTTGTAATAATTAACATTAATTAAAAATCGAGTATTATTGTTCATTGGAAATTGTTTTTGAAACGAGAATGGCTGATACTCATTCATAAATCGTTTCTGGTGATTAATATATCATTCCTAATAATATATAATTTTTAGTAATTAAAAACAATTTTTTTGTCATTCGAAAATGATTTTGATGAACAAACACGTGTTTTTAGTTGTTTAAAATTGATTTTTCTGTAAATTAGCAGTTTTGTTTATGATTTTTGCAGATTCTAACCTCAATTCTGTGTCCTCCACCTGGAATTTGACATTTTCCTCAGTCAAATCACTGATATGCACCGATGGCTGATTAGCATAAGGCATCCTGACGACTTAATTGATTAATTATTACTAACTGATTGTTTATTGACACTTTTTTGGGGTTAACTATCGGTTTATTTTCGGTTCGGAGGAAGAGAACGTCGAGTTCGCTGGAATTTAGGCCCAGCTCATGAACACTCTTGAACATCTGAACTTAGATAATCAGATAACCCCGAAAATCTAGCATATGATCTGTAATATGATCTGTAATAAACACTGAATACACAAAACAGCGAAATTTTCACTCTACTCTAGAGTGGATGAAACATGGAAAATTAATATCGAGGAATTCCTGTAGAAAATGTCTCAATATAGGAGAAGTTGTATAAAAAGATGAAATTATATTGACTTTTTCTATGAAATATTTTCTATGGCATATTTTTTATAGGGGAGAATGGGACAAAATGGACACTTTTGACTTTTTTTAAAAATATTCACAACTCAGAAACAGATTTATCAATTGTGCTCAGTCAAAGCTCATCACAAAGAGGAATCGTTGTTCTTTGTACTGAAAAATATAATTATTCCATTTCATGAACAATTCAACAAGTCACAAACATTTGGAAAAAAGTCAAAAGTGTCCATTTTACCCCATCCTCCCCTGCAAAAAAATGAATCGATCAAAACCTAGGAGAATTTTCAATCGAATTCGCTAGTTTTTTCTATAAAATCTTTGCCCACGTGAATTAATTGTTATTTTTACTATCAAAGTATTAAATATCAATTAAACTTGAGACAAAAATATGTCCAAATTCAAATGAAAAGAAAATTTTCAAATGAACAATGAAGAATAATCTACTCTAGAAATCTAGAAACCTATAAAAAAAACAATCTTATCTATAAAACTACAAATCTACAAATATAAATATATAATCTAGAATAATCTATACTCTGGAAAAACTATAGAATTCGTGTTTTCTATACCACTTATTCCATTATCTCAAATTTCCCAATTCTTGTCATTCCTTTTCTTTTGATCAAAAAAAATGTTAAAAAATTAAAAAACGTCAGCCGAGTAAAACCCACATGAAATACCTCAACCGAACAAGTTCAACAGAATACCTTTTTCCCTAAAACATTTTCTCCCGACCATTTCAACAGAATTGTCTCTCGAGCTCTCTACAATTTTCAATGCCCTTTTTTCCTAAATCAATTACGAATCAAACCCCCCCAGCGGAAAATTTCAAACGGCGACTGAAGAAAGCTCTGCTATTCTTCCCAAAAATCCCCGCCTGAGAATCCCCGGAGCTCCTGCCCCGGGACTCCCCGAAGATGGCAGCACAGTCAGCCACGCGAGCCCTCGCGACGAGAAAAACAGAGCCCCCAAAACACCAGTCTCCACCTGAATCACCGCAGAGTCGTCGAGCCCTGACCCCCCGGAGTCAGTCACCCCCGAGGACCCTGGCCCATCACCACCAGCAGGTAAAGCCCCCCAGCCCCGGCCACCCGCACCATCACTAACCCCCGACCCCTCATTCCAGGAATAACCTTGAAATCATCATCACCATGACCCGCCGAACGTTGTGACTATTCCAGAACCTCCAGAAGATGTCTTCGCCCCAGATGGACGCCCAGAGGACGGATCCCCAGGTGTCAATCGTTGGAAAGACCCCGCAGCCGGTCACCCTGGAGGACGTGTCTGCCAGCGCAAGGCCCCCGACGCCCCCGGAGGCGCCCCACGTGGACCGCAGGTCCCCAGAGCCCCCTGCGGTCCCCCCGAACCCCCCGCCAAATCCTCCGAAGCCAGATCCCCCTCCGAATCCCCCCACGGCCTCACTGAACCCGATTAAAACAGCCCCTGCGTCCCCAATCATCCCCAGGAGCAAATCCCCAGGTGGAAATCCCTGGCTGAACCCTGGGGACCCCAGGCCCCTGGAGCCAAATCCTCGCCCCAAGACCCCAATCCCCAGACAAGTGAGCCCTCACCCCCTCTCTGACGACGAGACTTACGACCCTCCGTCACGCTCGAGGACTCCCGTCTACCCCAGGGTCGTCCCCAGCTCCAAACCACCCCCGGAAACTCCGAAGGCCTTCGCCCTCGACCAAACCCCCATTTCCTTGATCAACGATCAGCACGAGGTGGAGCTCATCCCCAGGAGGCGCTCCGAGGAGAAGAGGAGTCTGAGTCTCGGGGATGTCGACGACACTGTCACCATCACCAAGGTCACCAAGCGTTCGAAGGGGGTGGAGAGGCCGAAGACGCCGGTGACGAGGACGGACACTCCGGTGCTGAGGCCCAGGACTCCCGTGGAGAGACCCAAGACCCCGGTGTTGAGGTCCAGGACTCCCGTCGAGCGGCCGAAGACACCCGGGGCCACGGGCGAGAGGACGAGGCGGAGGAGCGCTCTCGGGGAGCGGGAGATGGGGGGCGACGAGAGGATCGAGGGGGAGGGGGAGGAACGACGGAGGAGGCGGAGGAACAACCGCGATGGGTTCTGCTGGAAGTGCCATAAGGACGAGGTGGAGATCGCATGCAGCACTTGTGTCAGGTAAGGAGGGGG